GGGGTAGGAAGGGGAGGAAGGGGTTAAATAAAAGTCGATCGATATACGGAGAAAACGGAGAAAAAATTGCTGACCGATGAATAACTTGAATGGGTAGGTAGGTATCTATCTAACCTATCTCTTTGCTGACTTGATTGATTTGATTGGATTGATTGGCCGTGCGCTAGGTAGGTAGGTAGGTAGGTAGGCAAGCAAGCAAGCAAGCAAGCTATCAGCTACTCTACACTCTCCATCTCCATCTCAATCTCCCTCTCCCTCTCCATCTCCATACCCAACGCTAGCCTCCACCGCGTGCGCACCACCACCACCAACTAGACTCTCAACCTGTCCTGTCTCGCGCAGCCAATAGGTATTACCTATCCCCATCATCCAATTCCAACTCCACCTCCCACTCTTACATCCTCACATCCTCACAACCATCAGTCATCCATCCTGACGCGTGTAACCATTCCTCTGCATGACATGGGATATCTTGTAGCGGCGATGTGAGAGATTTGCAATGTTTGGTGATGATGGAGAAAGAGCGTGTCGGTGCGGTCGGTTTTCTCCTGTTGTGAGGTCGGTTTTCGCTGGCTGGCCTTGTTGTCGGGGGGGTTGTTGATCGGACTCGGACATTTCAGGGATTTTTTTCATTTTTTTTTTCATTTTTTTTTTCTTTTATTTTTTTTTATTTTTTTTTATTTTTTTTTTATTTTTTTTTTTTTTCTTTAACAAAAAAGAAGAAGAATGATAATAATAAGAATAATATATTTTTATTTACGTTTATATATATATATATATAGATTAAAAATTAAAAATTAACAATCAAAAAAAAACATTTTTTAAAAAAAAGGAAAAAAAAAAGGAAAAAAAAAAAGGAGAAAAAAAAAAAAGGAAAATCTTCAACGCAAAATCAGTTCGTGTAAAAAAGTCAATGGTGATTGAAAGTCGGTGTAGCGCACTCGTTGAAACTTGAGACGGAGAGTAGCCGACAGCTTGCCTTATTGGCGCACGGTCAGGGAAGACTGAATGACTGATAATTTTTTTTTTGTTTTTCTTTTGGATAAGAGTAAAGAGGGCAGAATACCCTAAAGAATTTTGTGTCTGTAGATGCCGTGGGCTGTATTGAAGTAGAGGTAAAAAAAAGGTAAAAAAAGGTAAAAAAAGGTAAGAAGAGGTAAGAAGAGGTAAGAAAAGGTAAGAAAAGGTAAGAAAATATAAGAGAAGAGCACAGTTTATATACAAGAAAGATAGAAAGATGCAAATGACAAAAGTATCTGATGCCAGTCTGCACTACGGCAGCTAGTGAATGAAGTGGAAAATTATATACAAAAAGTGTAGACCAAAAGATAGTAGCCTGCTAAAAGAAACCAGTCTGGGCCATGGAAGAAAATGTCGGAATGTCGAATTCGGTGGTCATCCCCTCATTCTGCTCCCTCGCTTAAACCACTCACCTCATAATCAAAAGACTCCCGCGGCCACCGGCCCCTATGACCCCCTCTCACAAGTCCTCTTCACCGGGGAACCACACTGTCTTGGGTACTTTCTGTCTGTGATGGGGTTCGGAATAGCTCCGACACCGATGCCGTTCAAGTACCCCCACCCACCAGGCGCCTTCGCGCTCCACATGAAGTAGCCGCTCGAGCTACTCTCAAACACATCCAGCTGCGCCTCGACGTACCTCCGCACCTCCTCGACCATGTCCTTGTTCCATTCACGGATAGGCTCATGCTGGCACTGGCAGCCGGCAACGGAGCACGAGGCGCCAGCGATCGTGCTGCCGTCGGGGTTCACGCAGATGTTGGTTGCGGCAGTCCACTCGCCAACAAAAGTCGGCATGACCGCATCGGCAGCTGCGAGGTCAGAGGCCAATGCACAGGCAGTGGTGATGTGCTCGGCTTGGTTGAGTTCGTTGTACGCATCCGTATACGTCTGGTACAGATGCGTGTCGACGGCAAAAGTTCCTGGCACCTCCGCCGGGCCGCCGTTCAGGGATCGGGCAAGGTCCGTCCAAGCCTCCGCGCCTAGGGACGCATCTTGCATCACAAACAGCAAATGCTCATTTTCAGCCTCGGACTTCACGACCGCGTAAGCATCTGCCGCCCACAGCTCCATGGCGCTGAGAAGCACGCCCACCTCCGATAAGGGGTCGTAGCGGAGCTGGAGGCCGATAACAACGTCGCTGTACTTGGCCGCGCCGTACTTCTTCGCAACGGTCTTCAGCACAGAGAGCGGGCGCTCGGAATTTTGGACCTGAGTGTACGGGTCCGGGGAGCCGTCCAGTTCGATCCACACGTACATCCCGTTCTTCCTTGCCCACTGAATTGCCTTGTCGAGGTAAGCGTCAGCGCCCTTGTGGTATGGCGTGCCGGTGCTGTCGTATGCCCAGAATCCGATAGGGATGCGCAAGGCGTTGATGCCAGTCGCAGCGAGGGTTTCAATGTCGGTCTCAGTGATGAAGGTCGACCAGTGCTCTTGCAGGGCAGGAAAGGAGGAGGGGAGAGAGTCAAATGTGTACTGGTCAACGGCGGCGGAGAAGGAGCCGTTGAAGACGAGGGGGTTCATCCATTTCTCGAGGATGAGCCAGCCGCCGAGGTTGACGCCGCGGAGGAAGGGGATCGCTGGGTCACATGGAGCAGCGGGTTCGGCTTTTGGGGCTGGTTTCTTCGGGGTGGTTGGTTTGCGCATAGGGGTCGGAGTTACAGTCGGACCAGTCGGCGTGGCAACAGCCTCAAAAGATGTGTATTCGGTGACAGTCGTTGCGATAGCCTCTAATAACGGAACAGCGTTGAAACTGGTCCCAACCGTTGGCGGAGTCGCCACAATCTCAGGTTCCACGACGAGGTTGGCGACTACGGGTACATATGGATTCTTAGGTGGGTGCTTGGGTCCATTTGTTGAAGAGGGCGGAGCTGTCGTCGAGGCAACCGCTTCGAAGGAGGTGAATTCTGTCGCCGTCGTTGCGATGGCTTCATACAACGGGACCGCTCTGAAGCTGGTTCCAACTGGTAGCGGCGTGATTTCCGGGTCGCTATTTCGTCTCTGGGGACGTGCTGATGCCGAGGACGACAGGAGGAGAAGGCCCGTCGAAGCCATAGTGAAATGGTTCCACATCTTGGTCTGTCTCGCATGTGCTGATAACTTTAAATGCTTGGATGATATATCTCTCGGGAGATGGATACAAAGTGTTGAGCAGTCCAAGTCTTCTTCTTGTATATGTGTGCGTGTGCGTGTATTCGAGTGAAAGAATGATCGTGTATGTCGGACGGATATGCCGTACGTCAATTCATTCGTGTGAGAGGTTCCTGCCTGGGCCGTTCAAAGATGAGGGCCGAAGTCTGTCTCGAAGAATATCTGATCGGACCAGAGCCAGAATGGTGGCAGAAGTCTACAGTGATGGGATGCTTGCTGTATGCAAGGAACTGAAGATCAACTGACGAAACGCAGAGAGAAAGCTGCTGCGTAGGCATATAAAGATAGATGGTACTGAAGCGAAAAGCAAAGGCAACGAGCGTGAATAGATAGATAGATAGATGGACAGACGCCTCGAGCATCCGAGAAAGGGGGGAGGATGAGGGATGATGTAGGATGAATGTTCACAACCGGCGAGGTTGATGAGCAGGACCAGATCAAGGGAGTTGACCCAGCAAATCGGACAGCCAGCAACATATACTCCTCGGTCATCTCATCTCGGATCATATTCCGTAGGGAGGAGAGAAAGCTGAGCACTTGCTTGTCCCTGTCCTCATCCCCATGAAGATGAAACTCGGGCATGTAAGTCTCCCTGGGCCCGGGGGGTGGCCACAGCCCGGGGGGTGGTCACTGCCCAGGGGCGAGGGCGAGGCCGCTCGCTCGCTTAGGCCGGGACAGGGAGAGCATGCGGAGCGGAGCGGAGCGGTGCGGCTGGAGGGGGCGGGGGGGGGAGAGCCTGCCCCTGAATGATCTGAATCGTTTGAATCAAGTAAATAGTATTTGTGTATATATATACTTCGTACATATATGCATATGAATGAAAATAGGAGACGAGAGGAGGTGGATGGGGTGAAAAGAGAATAGGAGAGGAGAAGATGCGAAGATGCGACGATGCGAAGATGCGAAGATGCGAAGATGTGAAGATGTGAAAATGTGAAGTTGTGAAGATGTGAAGACGAGAAAGGATAAGATGACAGAAGAAGATGGGACGAATGACTGAATGGCTCCGGAGCACTAGTACCTGCACTAGCACCTGCACTAGCAATAGCCGAACACGCGACTGGTCCCGGCCCACGGAAATTCATTAATCCTAGCGCCCCCTCCCTGTTTCAAGCCCCATCCTCTTCGGACGGGACTCGCGCCCACATCAGACCAAATCAGACCCTCGCCCTCTGGTTGCTCAAACATGACGAACTTCCAGCTCTTGTTTTCAGCCCTTAATACAACAAATATCAAATCATGACGAGCCCGGCCCGGCCAGGCCGTTACGGGTATTACGTCGCTCGCACGGATCGCAGGAAGAAGTCAGTCCGGCCAGGGTGGTCTGGTCTGGTCTGCACAGAGCGGAGAGGGAATCCGTAGGTTAGGTACGGAGTCTGCCCCATTATCCGGCCTGGGGGAGAGGGCGGTAATTTGGCGCAAGCAACGTTCAATATACATGAAAGTACGACTATATACCGTGTGTGGAGGGAACGAAAATCATTTAGTAGTATGAAGAGAGGAATATAGAATATACATCGCTTAAGGAGAACTGGAGCTGATCAGCTCACATAGGTTGTAGCTGCGTGAGGCGGCATAGGTACTGCTTGCTACTTGTAAGTTGTATCTTGCTTGCCTGTTCTTGGTGGAAGAGGGTAAGAGGTGTAGCGGAACCGGTCGTGGTGTCCCTAAGCCTGCGTTCCGAGTTGAACCTCAACGCTACATCACTTCCATAGGAAGAAATACACTCTAACATTGTAAAGAAAGACGTCAACGTGTTTTTTTTTTTTTTTTTTTTTCCGGATTTTACGATATAATATGATTTTCAAGCCTCAGCCGTCGCGACTGCAAGCTAAAACCCGGGGCGTTTCGCAAGCGCTACGGGGTAGGTTTTCCGGACTTTACGGTAAATACTCCGTAGTATTCCGAGCATCGACGCTACACCGCTTTCATAAAGCTGTAAGAAATACACTTTCAAGCTGTATGGAAGGATGTTGAATACAGTAAAATAGATTCTAAGCTTCAGCCCGGGCGCAAGCTAAAGCTTACGGCCCTCCGCAAGCTACGGGCTAGGTTTCCCGGACTTCGCGGTATACTCTGTCAAGTACCGTAAGTAGTATAAATCCCCACAGTCAGCGCGCCCCACCGCATTGAGTTTCAACGTTTGCGTTGACTCGTTGGGTACTACGGTAACTAATCAGTGCTGAATACCTACTACGTACGTAGTACTTGATACTAATTGTGCATCTATTTCCGTACAGTATCGAAAGAGACGTGAGACTTGCCACGCTTTAGCATTGATCAATTATTCCTTGAGTCTTAAACGCGTAAGCCTCACACCGTCGGCACGCCCCAACACACTGAGGTTCCAGCGTTTGCGTTTATTTTAATTTTCGAGTACTACTGTACTACAACTTGTTAAGTGCCGAAGCGTGGTAGAATATTCGATATTAATCACTAATCTATCTCCGTAAAGTATCCAAAGTGACTTACTAGTACTTATAGTACTGGTAGTATGATCTGCTACTTATGCTTCAGCACTGACCAATTAGTTCTTAAAATTAAACGCAAAGACTAAAACTCTATGTGTGGGGCGCGCCGACGACTGTGCGGGTTTTATACGGTATTTTCGTGAGGAAAGGTAGCCCACTCGGTATCATCTAGATTGCAATATTGCACTTCTTGAGCGTTGTGTGGATCCAACTTGAAAATAACATTTACGTGAGACAGGGTCTTTTGGTTTAGAAGGAGTACCTTCGCTGATTGGGTGCATCCGTCAGAGCTTAGGGAGGGGGGTTTTTTTTATTACGGGTGTCGGTTGGTACCGGCTGGTTTTAATTTGTTTGCAGACTGTCGGGGTCACTCTGCGATTTGTTTGTTTCGATGATCCGTAAAACGCGAGTATGGATTCTTTTCCCTCCGAATGGTTTACAGCATAATTTTTATTATTATTATTTTTTTTTTTAAAAATAAAAATAAAAAATTAATGGCTGATTAATAGTAAGGAAGGAAATGCTCGAGGGATAGGTAGCTGGCTGCATCGGCCGGAAAGGGTTATTGCTATAGATTAAATGCTCGAGGCATAGCTAGCTGGCTGCATCGCGCTGAAAGGGGCTTTTAGCTTAGAATTTCATTTCACATTTTTTATATAATTTTAAAAAGTATTTCTTATACTACTAGCAATAAAAGTGATGTATCGTTAATGCTACGAGTGCCGTATAAACTTATACAGTCGGCGCGCTTTATTATACAGAGTTCGGCCTTTGCGCTTAATTTTTGAGTACTATACTGATGAATCAGTGCCGAAGCGCAGCGAATTCTAAGTCATTCTAGAATCTACGTAGTAGATACCTCACAGTAAATAGATTGATAATTGATACTGGATTATTGCTACGGTTCAGTACTGATTGATCAACACTTAGAAAACAAACGCAAACACTGAAATTCAATATAATAAGGCGCGCTGACTATAAGAGTTTATACGGTCCTTACCCACTCGTAGCCGTAACGCTAAATTACTTTTACAGAAGAAAATGCATTTTGAAATTATCTAAAAAGGATATGGGATGATATTCAAAGCTGATAGCCCTTTCCAGCGCGATGCAGCCAGCTATTTCCCGAGCACTTCCCTCTTTACTCTTAATCAGCTATCAGTCAAGTTTCTAAAGATTACATGCCGTATATCCTATTCGGGGGGAAGAAGAGCTTATACACCCGTAAGGAAAAAACCTCCCCAAGCTCTGACGGATGCACCCAATCAGCGTAATCAAGTACTCCCTTAACATCAAAAGACCTCGTTTCACGTAGTATAAATTTTTCAATTGGGATCCACAAAACGCCCAATACAATATACATGATACCGAGTTAGATATCCACCTCTCTTTACAATAATACTCCCCCCATGAATACGTAGTACATGTCGAAAGTATAACTGTGCAAGGGATCTTACCAGGTCTTAAATCGGTCAACTTACTACTACGTACGTACTAGGTACGTAGTATAAGGATTCATTCAGCCTTGAAAAGTATCTTTCAGTCAGTATTTAGTCTGTGCAATAGAGTTGACAGGGCCTTGAGCCATTCAGAAACCACCACTCTACGATTTATGAAGCTAAACTGGGTCCGACATTCATTCATAAGGGGATAGATAGTAATACAGTAGGTATCGTACCGTATAAACTCACATGGTCAGCGCACTCCTCCACACCGAGCTCAGTCTTTGCGTCTAATTTTCAAGTACTACTACTACAAGTACTACGTCCCAGGCGTAAGTATTACCCCTCGAGGGTGCCTCAAAAGTTTAGTTCCCACTTTAGACCCCCTGGCTACCCTACCCTCGAGGGCTAATACTTACGCCTGGGACGTAGTAGTACGGTGGAGGTAATTGATCTGTGCTGAACTGAAGCGCGGCAAATCCTAATTCATTCTAGAATCTAGATACCAGATACTTTACAGAGATAGATTGATGATATTACTACGCCACAGCACTAATAATCGGTGCGCTGACTGTAAACCTGCGGGCACTCGCTTACAGTCAGTCCAAGCAAGTGTTCCAGTCCAAGCAAGTACCCCATTCCACATTAGAGAAATATATATTTTACGATATTGATTGCATTCAAGAACAGCTTTGCATATAAAAATTCGATAATTAAAATAAAGCTCGGTTGCGTTGGATTTCCTAATCCACTTTTTACTATCATGATATATTGCGTTTTTAATTTACTCGAATTGTAAACCGCACCAATTCTAACCGGTATTTTGAATATTCTCGAGCCTTTTCAGCTTAGTAATCGATAAGTTGCAAAGCTTGCTATTATCCAAAACGCAATACTTGGACTTTAAACCCTTTTATAAGGTACGACGACGTATTAAACAAGGATATGATATATAAAGTATTATTTAATCGAGATTAAAAACCACCTTAAAGAAAAGCTCTCCCTCAAATAGTTTCGAGTCTTCGATCTCGCCGTATCGCATAACTTTTATAACCTTTAAAAGCAATTTAAATTGGTATAGCGCACGCAGCTGCTATCGCTTATGCTTTTCTTTTACGGACAAGATACAGTAGATCGCGAAAAAAATATAACACTACGTCTCAGGTGTAATTGTTACACCCTTGGGAGTAGGGTAACCAAGGAGTTTAAAGTCGAAACTGGACTTTTGAGGTACCCTGGAGGGTGTGACAATTACGCCTGTACCGTGGTAGTAGTATATCTTCGTCGGAAGAAAAACTTACAGAGCAAGTTATAGCGTGAGTAACGTATATCGGTATCGACTATCGAGATAATTCGAGGCCGGACCGGAGTCAGCTACGTAGCCTTTTCGAAAGCGCAATATCGTAGATCGTTTTAATCCTTCTTTCATTTCTTTTACTTCGTTCCCCCCTTATCGCAAATCTTTTTAAAATTTTCAATCGGTATGCCCGTCAAGTATGGATCGTAGTCGGCGTGGTGATCGAGGTATGAGAAGGCTCGTTCGGATCGCCGGTAAAAGAAAATCTCTTCGAAAGGCCACCTTGATTCAATCTCGGCTTCCTGGACTCTTTTTGACGTAGAAAAAAGAGCTGAAGGTTCGTGAGGGGAGGCACCTCGTACAAGTAAAGAATCGTAGCCCCTTATCTTTTGCCCAATAGATATCAGAATAATCGATAAAAAGTACTTGACATTTTGTAATCAAATAGAAGACCGTGACGCAGATACGTAGATGTAGTTTTTATTAACATAGCTTTCTTACATTGGCAAGTTGTTTACGATATAAACCGTGATTCTTGATGATTTTTAACGATTTTCAATCCGAATTTGCATACTGTACTAATTGAGTTGGGACACTTGCTCAGACCAAGACATTTGCTTGGACTGACTGTTACCGACAGCTCGCAGATAACAAGTCAGCGCAATGACTATTACCGGTAGATACGGATCGAAACGGATCGAAAGGTGCCCTTTAAATCAAAAGAGGCTTTTTCACGAAATATAATTCTTCCAGGCGGATCCACAAAACGCTTAAATACAATATAGATGATACCGAGATAGCGGTACCCTTCCTCACAGATCACGGTAATACCGTATAAACTCACACGGTCAGCGCGCCCCACCACCCCGAGCTCAGCCTTTGCGTTTAATTTTTTCGGTGCCTTATCAACTGATCGGTGCTGAAAGCACAGCAAATCCTAAGCCACTTTAGAATGTAGATACTTTACGGAGATAGATTAATAGTTCATATCAAATAATCGCTACGCTCTAGGACCGATCTCTTAAATCCCTTTCCATACTTTACGGAGAAAGATTAATAAATGACATCAAGTACTTGCTGCGCTCTTGCACTGATCTCTTAAATCTCTTTCCATACTTTACGGAGATAGATTGAAAATTAATACAACGCACCGGTACTATTTGCTACGCACGCTCTACTATCTCCCCCCGTGAATAAATGTCGGACCCAGTTTAGCTCCATAAATCGTAGAGCGGTGATTTCTGAATGGCTTCAGGCCCTCTCAACTCCATTGCACAGACTAAATACCGACCTAAAGATACTTTTCAAGGCTGAATGAATCTTTATAAGCCTGATCGGTTTAAGACCTGATAAGACCCCTTGCAAAATTATACTTTCGACAGGTATTCATGGGGGGGGGAGGTGGTGAGTAGCATTCATCAATTACTGTGGTACCGGTAGTACGACTACGTAGTACTTGAAGATTTAAACTAAACGCAAATGCTGGAAACTCAGTGTGGTAGGGCGTGGCACTGCCAACTGTGTGAGTTTATACGGAGCGCTAAGTAACACAGTGGCTGTCACCAAGCTTCATCTCTCCCTACGGATGCGGAGTAGCTTCTCTGTTCCCCGATCCGATCCGAAGAAGACACCATACCACGTTACAGTAAGTACAGTTCAGTTACCAGCCGGAGGGTGCCTCAAAAATTTTAATCTCCACTTCAAACCCCTGGTTACCCTGCCTTACTCTCAGGGTGTAGCACTCACGCTTGTGACATTGTACTAGTACACCGTAAGCGACTCTAAGCGAGGGTAGTGTGTATTTACAGGTAAGGTAGCGAGCATGTACCGACTACTGTACATACTACGTATTTTCACGCACCAAAATATCATACACCTCCCCTCAATTCCCCACATCACCTCCAAAGCCCACCGGCCTCCGCTTCCCCCCACTCTCCGGTACAATAGCCATGGCCTTGTACACCTTCCCCATACCGCTCCCTCCCCGATCGACCAACCTCCTCCATGACCCCTCCACCCTCTCCCCCATCTCCCCCCCACCGCCATGGCCCTTCAACCGCCTAGCCCTCTCCTCAATCCCCATACTTAGAAGGAAATGCCCCTGCTCCACCGGCCCGTAGACCTCAACGCCAGGCGACGCCCCGAGCGCAGCCTCGGCCAGCGCGACGAAGTCCACGTCGGCGGAGATGTCGACGAGGCCGGGGGAGCTGAGCGGCGAGACGCGCTGGTGGGCGCGAATGCCGCGGAGGGAGTTGGTCGGGATGGTGTCGGCAGGCCCGTAGTCGAGGATGAGCGCTGCGCCCGAGGGTGAGGTCTTGGGTTCTGTTTCCGAGCCGCCAATGCGGCGTGCGAATTCCTGCGCGTAGGCGTGCGATTCCGGTGATATCTCGATGAGCGAGTCCGGGGTCGATTTCAGCGCCCGGTACCGTGCTGATATCTCGGGCAGGTAGAGGCTGTGTGGCGTTGCGGCTGGAGAGAGATTGAGTTGGAACTCGGGAGGTGAGTTGGCGCCTTGTTGTGACTTTGGGGTGTGGAGAGTGGTGTGTGTTGAGCCTGGGGGCGTGGGCGAGACGACCATTTCGCGCCACTGGGGTCCTTTCCTTTGGGCAGCTTTAGAGGCCTCGGGGGTGAGTTTATGGACGCCTGTGGGCGTTTGGATGGTCTCTTGGGCAGAGTCTGAGGAAGCGACGGACTGGAAGGCGTGGATTGGGAGGGCGTCGAAGAACTCGTGGGCTACGATGAAGGGTGTTTTGTTCTGGTCTGTAGGAAGTTAGTACCAAGCATGAATGAGTGAACGGACCTTACCTGATGGGACGAAGCGGATGTTCTCAGTCCATATGACAGGAATCCCGGCATATTTACTTGTACTCCGGTGCCCAATGGACATCTCTTCAAGAGGCGCGTCGCCACACAGCAGTTGCTTCTGAGCCTCCCTCAAGGACGGGCTAGCTTCAACCAGATAGACAGCCTCGATGCTCTTAGCCATGGGTCCAAAATTCTTTATTGTCTATATACCAGATCAGCCGGGTTCTCCTATTATCGATAGCTCTCAAGCATACGCGTAACATATCATCCATCAACGTCCCTCTTCCAGGCCCAATCTCTATCAGCTCGACACCCTTCGATTTCCTGCCCTGTCCCATCCATTCTGCCACGAACCAAACAGCAATCAGCTCTCCAAATATTTGCGATATCTCAGGAGAGGTTATAAAGTCTCCCTTCTGCCCGAATTGATCGCGGCCTTCTTGCTTGGACATGTAGTAGCCTCCCAAGTCGGACGTCAAGCACATTCGCATAAAGGATGCGAGGGGGATTGGTCCCGTAGCCTGTGGTATCATCAGCCATGCAATCAATTATTTTGGGGGGAAAGTACTTCACAGTAATAGCTTCAGAAAGCTGCTTCGCAAGAGGCGTAGTCCACTGCCTGGCCTCACTCGACGACCACCTCACAACAGTAGGAGCCGCATATCTCCAGCTCCCAGCACTCCGCTGGGCATTTCGCAAGCCATTCCGAGCTTGAAATGATAAAACAGACTTCATCTTGGCTCTCAAGACGGTCACCTCTACATTTTCCCATCCGGTGCGAAGTGATGTGGTGATCCAAGCTCGGCTCGGCCAAAATAAATTATGGAGCCTCGTCTTCACTCAGCCTTCTCGCCCTCGACTAATCACCACTAATCCCACCACCACCACCACCGCCCGCCGCCGCCGCCAATGACTCGACAGTGAGTACGAAGATGAAATCTCGCTGGGCCGACGACAAGGAAGACGCTGCTCTCCAAGCGCAGCGCAAACGCGAGAAGGAGGAGAAGAAACGGGCAAAAGCCGAGAAACAGCGTCGAGCAGACGAAGCTGCCGCCCAGCTCCTCTCGCAGCAACAAGAAGCCGCCGCTGCCCAATCGCAAGAAATCGAGCTTTCGTCTCGGCCCTTGAAACGCAGGAAGCTATCGCTTGAGCCTGAGAATGGGGAGCCGGAAGAAGTGCTGCCGCCCGCCCAGCTGCTGCGGTTCCCGGCGCCCGAGTGGAAGAAGTGCAGGAGCGTGGAGGATTACGAAAAGCTGAATGACATCGAGGAGGGTGCGTACGGATGGGTGTCTCGAGCGAAAGATACGGCGACGGGGAAGATAGTTGCGCTTAAAAGACTGAAGATGGATGATGCCCAGGATGGGATTCCCGTTACCGGGTTGAGGGAGATTCAGACGCTGAGGGACTGCGAGCATCCGAACATTGTTGCTCTGCAAGAAGTAGTTGTGGGGGAAGATACGAGTAAGATTGAGAGGTAAGTCTCTGTGTTCCCTTCTACATATCTTCTCTACCCTCCCACCCTCTTTACTTTCCAGGTTTGTCTACAATGGGCAGAGGGCACTGGCTAACTGAACTAAACAGCGTCTTCCTCGTCCTCGACTTCCTCGAACACGACCTAAAAACCCTCTTAGAAGACATGAGCGAGCCTTTCCTCCCATCGGAAACCAAGACCCTCCTCCTGCAACTCACCTCCGGCGTCGCCTACCTGCACGAAAACTGGATCCTACATCGAGACCTCAAGACCTCCAACCTCCTCCTCAACAACCGTGGCGTGCTCAAGATCGCCGACTTCGGCATGGCGCGGTACTTCGGGGACCCGTGTCCCAAGCTGACCCAGCTGGTCGTAACGCTGTGGTACCGGGCTCCCGAACTGCTGCTGGGGACTGAGCGCTACGGCGCCGCGGTCGACATGTGGTCCGTCGGGTGCATCTTCGGCGAGCTCCTGACACGGGAGCCGCTGCTGCAAGGGAAGAACGAGGTCGACTCGCTCTCGCGCATCTTCGAGCTCTGCGGCGTCCCGACAGAGGAGTCCTGGCCGGGCTTCCGCCGCCTGCCCAACGCGCGCTCTCTCAAGCTGCCCAAGAACCCCGTCGCGCAGGGCTCGGTCCTGCGCGCCAAGTTCCCGTTCCTGACGACGGCCGGCGCCAGGCTGCTGATGGACCTGCTGAGCCTGGATCCCGGGAAGAGGCCGACGGCGCGGGAGGTCCTGGAGCACGCGTTCTTCAAGGAGGACCCGAAGCCGAAGAGTGCCGAGATGTTCCCTACATTTCCGAGCAAAGCGGGTCAGGAGAAGCGGAGGAGAAGAGGCACGCCGAATGCGCCGGGCAGGGGGGGGAAGGTGCCGGAGATCAAGGCGGTAGATTTTAGCGGGATATTTGCGGGGAGGGAAGATGAGGAAAGGGGGGCTGGGTTCTCGTTAAAGCTGATTTAGATGCAGCAAGGTCTCTCACTCTTTGAAGTGTAGTATCAGTTGGGTGCCACGTCAAGACATGGAGAGCATAAGCGAGAAGGGAAATCTTGCACTGGTATTCGAAGATAGATAGCTGGCTGGTACAACCAAAAAAAACACAAGCTATAGGTAGTAGGATGCTGCAAAACTGCATGTACAGAATCGATCAAAATGAAAACCAAAGCCAATATGAACCAAACATTCTTCCTCCATGCGTATATACGTCTCCCATATTATGTATTGATCCTCCGCTATCTATGCATATATCAAACCATCCAAATTTCGTTAAAGATCCATAAACACCATTTGCTTTCCCCCGGCCCAGAAAAAGGAGCGTTAGTGGGTTCAAAATCTGAGCAGAGCCATCATACCAATACCTACCGCCTGGCCTTTCGAATCACAGATCCCATACGGGTGTAATAAATCTATTCGTCTTGTCTCCGCACAACCCCACAAAACACGCTGTTCATAACATGAAAGTGCTCTTCGTACCGAATCGAGTTTCCCGAGACGGACGGGTAAGACGAGACAAGTTTCGAGACTACCAAATCACCCCGGTGCCTCCCACGAACCAGGTAAAGCTCAAGACGGTCAGCACACCCATGCCCAGCACCATGCCGAGAGCCTTGCGCTCCAGATCACTCAACGCCCCACTGGTGCAAGTTGCGCACGAGAACTCGGTGAGCGGCGTATACGGCTGCGGCACGTACATGCCGAAGCTGTAGCTGTTGAAGGGGCGGAGATAGCCAGCCGCGGCTGGGGCGCTGATGCTGCTGTCCACGTCGTAGATGATGAGCGTGTAGGTCTGGGTCAGCAGCGGGTTCTGCACGGCCGTCGCCTGGTAGCTGCCCGTATCCCAGGTCACGGCGCCCGTGGCGTTGGTGATCGTTTGGTTCACTGCTAGCGTGTAGAGCTGCGAGTTGGCGGAGCAGGTCGCCATGATATTCAGCGCCGTCGGGGTTGAGGAAAGCGAAGTGTAGTTCCAGGCGAAAGTCACGTAGTCTCCGATCTTGAAGTAGGGCGTCGATGTTGCGGCGGGCGTGATCAGGGCGATGCCGCCGGCTGGGAGGCGGGCGTCGTAGGAAGTCTTGCGGGACGGGGCTGCGGAGGTCCTTCTAGAACCAGAATCGGATGCTCTAGTCGGGGGTTCCGACTCGGCGTTGTTGTTTGGGGTGTCCGCGTCGGCGTTGTTGTTTGGGGTGTCCGCGTCGGCGTTGTTGTTAGGGGTGTCCGAGTCGTTGTTGTTGTTTGCCGGGGGGGTTGTTTGTCTTGCGGCGTCATTAGGGGCCGTAGGAGTTGCTTGAGCCTCATCTGTTGTTGATGTTAGACTTGTTTGGATAGTGAGGGGCGATAATTATTTGAGAATAAGATAGGATAGGATGGACGTACTATCCCCCGTGTCCTGCCTCACGATCAGCGAGTCCATTTCTGGCATCCATTCCGGCCACGGCCACGCGGCTGAAAGGCCCGCAAGAAATAGGAAGAGTAGCGAGAAGAATTGGGCCCTCATGATGCTCTATCTTGTCACCCCGAGGAGTAGTATATCCCAACTCGATTTCCACTCGAGGTCAACAATCCAGCAAGGCTTCGTTCGACAACCAGACGGGATTTCCAAGCCGCGATCGGATATGCTGGGAATGAGCCGGCAGACTCGTGGGAAACGTGGAGGTCGTGCGTTTGTTCGCCTGTTGGTATTCCCTTGAAGTAAGGTCGGTCGGTCCAAAGGATGCTTCGTCGTCGAAAGGATCCTTCGTCGTCGAGTAATTTAGCCCCTGTCCACCACATCAGCACTCAACTGCATTCAATCGACCAAGCAACGCCGGCAGCACCAGCTCCTGTCTCCCTCACAGCCGCTCACCTGAGTCCCAATGGTTCCCGCAGTCAAATGGCCGAACGAGTGAGGCCGTAAAAATATACTGTGCAGCCGGGTGTCGTGGTGGTGAAGTACGATGCCGATAGAGAGAGGATGAAAAGAAGTACAGAGTAGAGAATGAAGAATGGCAAGATCTTGGCTCTTGGACGTTGCGAGGGAAGTGCGAGGAAGAACGTGCGAGGGAGCCCCACGCCTCGGGGAAAACGGGAATCGGGGCTGTGCCAACTACGGATACGGGATAGAGTGCGTACCTGACCCATACGGAGTTGGGGGTTCGCTTCGCCTCTCACTTCGCCTCCTGAGCCAGCCGAGGACGGATGTCAACAATGACATTCCGAGGCTGGATGGAGATGGCTGATAGAACCTGTCAATTGATGTACTTCGTCGGTGAACATGCGCGGACTTGGTATATGCAGCTGAACGGGAATGCGGTGTCGAAGCCAGTCGGTAGTCAAGCTAAATTTTCGGATGGTAGGCTCTGGAAAACGAAACTTACTTGCCACATCTTTCCTCCAGACAGACAGAGAGAGAGGAGGTGGATAGAGAGAGACATCCCCTCAGTATATACATACCTAACAAATCCACATTTCCATAACTCTACATATAACACCCTATATACGTACCTCCCTCTCTTCCCCCATCAGACCATCGACATCTATACTAAAAAAAATCGGTAGCCAATATCCCCTACCAATATCCACCCAGCTGAGCTCAGCTCTTGCAAGGGCTCGCCCCACCTACTCGTTACCATGTCAATACCGTGCTCCGACGCTGCTACATTCAGTTCGAACTGATCGACTTCGTCTTTATTCGCAGAAATGGTTGGAAAGATCATTGGGTCATCCGGCAAAGTCCTCGACTTAGGAGTCAAGGGCAGGCGTCGTCCGGAGTCCAACAACGCGTAGGCAAGTCTAGCCGTTGATAATCCTCATGCGCGTTCTATTCGTAGCAAATCTTTCCCTGGCTTAGCAACATCTTTCCTTCAGACTGGTAAGACGACTATTCATTCGGTAGGAAGTTGGCTGCCTGAACTGGCAGGGGCCAGGGACTGGATTGGAGACGTGATTCCCGTCTTCAACCCGAATCAGTTATGGGTTTGGGTTAAGAATGTGTATGCTCCTGCTCATCTGTTTTTTTGGAGGTGGGGGGCGCTTCTCAGGTCCACGGCGCAAAACAACCCCAAGACGTAGTGTCACAACGTACAGGAATTAGCGTGGCCCTTTCTAGACAATCAGTAGTAATACCACCAGGAAGGAGAAACTCAGCTAGCTAGATTACTGTCGTGCCCAGCATGAAGAAACAACGCTGCTGGAGGCATCCACATGGAACTCTGCTAGGGTAGGGAGGTGACACTGAAGTGAAGTGACACCAAAGGAAGGTAACACTAAGGTGGAGTGACAATCAGTTTCATGTGATATCTGCATATTTTTTTTTTTTTTAGATAAAGAAGCTGGAAAACAACCGCATAGTCTTATTGTGGCCAAGCGAATTGCTCTCTCCCAATAAGTAGACTTCCTTAATAGGCCAACTACTCTGACCGTTGCAGCCTCCTCTGGACAATTTCATTTTCTAATATGGCCAGTCTGCCTGGCCCTCAATCGGAGCGATATACGCGCCTGGGCCAGAACCATTATGCTGTGTGACTTCGAAGTAAGACTGTCGGAAAGTGTTCATGGTCTTATTTGCTCAGATCGGGTGCTCGGAGAGCTGCAATAACGACGTGACTATTTAACGTCGCATGATTTTGACCGCCCAGATCTTCCCACAAAGATCGGACAGGCTTCCATTTTGCATCAGTCCAATACCGTCTTGCGAATCCATGAGATCTAATATCAGCTTGTAAAGGAGAAAAGACGGCCTTGGCATAAGCATGTCAGGAAGAGCTGCTAGGAGGAGGTCGCCCCTGGGTAGCCTTTGAATTTGCCGCCATGATCATCCCTTGAATAACGGACTCCGGGCTCACCAAAGAAGTGAGCAAGTAATAGTGTTCTGAATTGCGTTTGGACACCAGTGGAGGTGGACTTGGCCCCTGGCGAGAAGTTTGGCATCGTCGCATATAATGGATCTAAACATGGATGTAATTGAAGATTATTCGAGCGCAATGAAATGCTTCAAGGTCGATGGAAAAGGGCATATATACTAATCAGACGTCTTTATGGAGGATGGACGCTTGACCTTCTATCTCGTGATTGAAAATCAACCTCTAAATACTTTATTCCGACGAGCAGAGTAACCAGCCCATTGTGCCGTCCAAGAACTACGTAAGTGACAGTCTCTATGATTATATCTAAGCAGGGAATACTTTACAATCAGATTGTCCTTACTACCCGCAACCTATCTATCTTTGCCGCCCGCGGACTTATGCTAGGAAAATCGGTTTTGAACTCTGGTATCCAGTAGCACAAGGATACAATAAGCCTACAGGGAATTGCTGACCAAGCTCTCTGTTTCACCGCTCAATTCTGCCCGAAATAATATACCGACTTCACTTTTACTGCAGAACTTCATCTTTCCAACAAGCCTGCCGCGCGCAAGACATTGGATCGAGCACACCACCCCAAATTCGAGACCCGCGAACTCATCAATCGTTCTCACGCCCTCACCATGCAGTCAGTCCAGACAGGTGAGATATGGTGCTTGGACAACGAGGTTCCGAGCTTTCTCCATTCAACAATTGTCTTTCAACGTGACGGGGTTCACTTTGTATGTCAGTCTGAAGAGCGCAAGCCTAAACTTGATATCGAAAGCATCAACGCCCTTCATCCCAGAATGATTCCCCGAGAAGATATATGTCCACTTGTTGAGGAGAATCTCACTGTCTGTGAAGAGCCTACCAAGCCAGACATCTTTATCAAACGACCCGACCTGACCTCATACGATGGTAGCTCCAATCTTGCCGATTTCATCCTTCAAGAAGCTCGTATATGCGAGATTCTGATGCGCCATCCTCACCCACACATCGTTAAATACTTTGGATGCTACGTGGAGGAAGGTCGAATCGCAGGGCTTTGTTTCCAACGTTATGCGGAGACGGCTGAAGACAGAATGTTAAGCGGTCGTCCAATCGACAAAGACAAGGTCTATGCTCAGATCAGCGATGCCGTCGAGCACCTTCACTCGATCCACGTGGCACATAGAGACATTAAAACAGCCAATGTAATGTTTCCCACGGAATCGAGCGACTTCGCGATCCTAATCGACTTTGACGCCTCCGCCGTCATAGGCCAACCACATCCAGCAAAACGGGGCTTGAGTGATGAGCAGGGGCTTGAGAAACTCGCGAAGTCTCTCGCCAGATAGGCCCGATCATGGTCAATAGCGAGGAGGAGTCTCGCATGTGTGGGAGGACGAAATGCAAAATCAAGAACTCTGATTGCCTGGTTTTCGAAACGAGTGTCCTACATGTGGAAAGAGCAAATCGTGGAAAGCTTCGTGTGTTGAACACGACATATAAACAGAAGCATCACCTTCAGCTCATTCTTCCCAGTGCCACCTTTTGCCATTCTTCCCAGTGCCACCTTCTCTCATCCTCCCCGGTTCCACCCTCTGTCGTCCTCCCCAGTGCCACCTTCTGCTCCTAATTGAACCTCTTCACTCCTACATCAGGCATCAGCTATTGTATCTTCAAGTAAGCAACCGCCGGGTAACATACCACTACTTCTTTTTCGGTTTCTCGTAAGAATCAGAGGATGGGCAATTACTCATCCCGCAATCTCTCTCTTTCTTGCCTGCTACGGTGGTCTTCCGAATCGATCCATCAGCGTTCTTAATCGTGACGATTTCAGATATGAATGTGCACATCCTATCTATCGTTATCGCGAGAACCCATCGCAGAGAGACGTTGAACTTACTCTGGGGAGTTTTCAAGGACAGAGATGTGTAGGCGGAATCCTTGTCGAGTTGGTTTGGCAGACTGTTTGAAATTGGTGTGGAAGTGAGTAGAAGTCGAGATATATGTGCGTTGTGTGTGTGTGTGTGTGTGGACAGTGGGAACTCGACCTGAATTTATAACAATGGAGGGCCGCGCAAGGCCAGATCCCCCAGCCTGTCGTCGTCCGACCTCGCCAGTGGCAGTATCTCCTGACCAGGCTGCAGTCGTTCCTCGCCAGCCGCCAGTCTGTCTTTGCTACATACAGTTCGTGATCGTACCAGCGGAAGCCTATCCTCATCGCTGCTGGCAGTTCCTCCGTGTCGCCCGCAGTCTGTCCTCTCGTTACTCGCAATCTCGTCCGGCACGATGGCATAATATCCCCTGCTTATGGCTAATGCAAGCCATACACCATAGAAGTCCCTAGGGAAGTTTTGTCCTGGGAGGACAAACCGTCAGCCCGGCTCGCGTCAACGCATGTATCCTCAAGCATCTCCCGAGAGAGAAGCCTTCTGCATGCCGGCACTGAAATCACCGCCACATTTACTCTATAACAACTAGGGATCTTCAGAATCGAAGGGTACCCCACAAGGGGGATATTCCGATATCTGGAGATCTGCATACCACGGAAAGAAAAAACCGGGAAGAACGATTGATTTCCACTGAAAATCCGGGCTGCAGGACGGTTTCACAATCTCGTTGCATCCACTGGACCCGTGTGCATGAATTGGTACATCAGAGGTCGGTCGCCCCTGCATAAAGATAAACAGCCTGCTGCAGACGGACGCCCCTACTCATCCCTCAACTCTTCTCACCGCTGTGATGCTGGTTCGCGATCGTCTCACTTTCGTCGTCTCACCGGTCACACCACAAGTCCATTTCTCAAGCCAGATCCGCCCTGCAGGCGAGACAATGGCAAAGCAGAGCATCCAGAGTCGCCGGACACGACTCGATCGAACATCTATTTCCTCACCCTACATACGCGATGACCGACTGACCGGGTGAGGTGCGGCTGCTTGGGAGTCGTGAAAAATGTTCCCCCTCCTGGTGGGTGGGTTGGTCTGCGCTGAATGAATGGAAGAAAGCCTTGGCGCTGAGCCTCGCTTAAGTGACGGGGAAATAAACAAAAGTTGAAATCAATCACTCAATCGCTCTCCATCCATACCATTTCTCACCCTCCTCGAACTAGAAAGAGGCAGGACCTCACGTGCGGGTACGGCCAGGCTAGGCTCTTGCTGTGTGTCGGGTCATGGTACTACCGTAGGCACGCTGACATTTTTATTTAGGGAGGAGGGGTGGATAGTAGAACGCCATTCGGGAACCATCTTGTATGCCGCGTGGGTAGGTAGCTATTGGCTCGATGCGCATATCCCTGGATCTAGACACGAGAATCCTGTAACGAGCCAGATTTTTTATCCAATCCTAGAATCAGGCAGCAGATCAACTCTGCGTGTCTTTTACATATATATATATATATATTTTTTTTTTTACTTTACTCGCTCTCTAGGAGCACGATCCAGGCCAAATTTAGCATCGCGGACTAGCTCATTCTTTCTTCCGTCTCAACCTCGAGGCTTGCTAGGTGTAGGTGTCTCATATGCCATGGCCAACTCCACAGTGCTAGAGGTCGCACAATTGCTGTCTGTCAGAGCATGAGGGGAGTAGACTCGATAGATTCGTATTTCTCGAGGGGTCTTGGGCCTTCTTCGACAGAAAATATTTACTTAGCCCGCCCAACCGTCAAAAGTCCAATCCAATAACCCCGCTCCATTCTAGCGATCAAGCAAGCAAGCAAGCAATTAAGTAGTGTAACCAACTTCCTAAAAAAAAAAAAAGACACCTCTTCCAAGACCAAAGTAAAACATCTTCTCCTCCTCTCCTCCTGCGCCCAAACCCTCCCCCCCCTCCCCCCCTTTCCCCATCCCCCTCTCCTTCTTCCAAAAAAAAAAAAAAAAACACAAAGCCAGAATAACATCACATTACAAAAACCAACAAGCCAGCCAGTCACCTCTCCCCCTCCCCCCCTAAAATCAAATCAAATCAAACCAAATCAAATCCAATACCTACCTCACCAATATCAACGGCACCAATATCAACATCAATATCAACAAACCCCAAGAAAAACTATCCATCCATCCATCCAGCCCATCCACCACCAGAGAAGAGCATAAGTAGGTTTTTTTTTTTTTTTTTTTTAAAAAAAAAAGGAATACCAACTTCACATAGCCAGAAAGATTACCATCATCATCATCATCATCATCAATCACATCCACCACCCTGACCCAGCCAGCCAGCCATCCATCCATCCAAAACGCACTCAACACTCAACCC